AAATCTAAGCCGGTACACAAAAGCATCCAAAATTTTATTTAGCTTATTTAATGGGTGTGAGAGTTTAATTGCTGCTTAAAACAAGGAGAATTTTTAAAAGAAAGAATAAAATAAAAATCTCTACCAGATATGTTTTATCACATTACTGCAGAGGTGTTCCTGCCAGTCAAACTTTATTTTGTCACCTCTTTTTGAAACGGTTATCGTATTTAATTGAGATTTTATGTAATAAACTAAAAGAGAGTAGTATAAAATTGTAAAGTGGAATGAAATAATTTTCGTCCAGAGTTGTCCTTTATTTATCTGCTATCATTGTAATATACAGGAATATACGATATAGGACTCTGCCAAATTACCGTGTTATAAATAATCATACAAGCATACAAGCTTCATTGAAAATACACTACTCTCTATTTGGATTTTGAAGGTTTAATCCATGCAGATTCCATACCAATATACTAAAGCATGAGGCTATGCTCCTTCTCTGTTTTTTAAGCACCTGTAGCTTTTGTCCTACTAGTTGGAACCAACCTTAAAAAGTACAGACTGTGATTGGATACTTTTCAGGAAATCTCGAGACAGCAGTGTTTTCTTACTAGTTGCAGCTAGTAACTTTAAAAAAGTATCTTTTGCCCCTGTCACACCAATTTAACCAGCATATGCCTGATGTCTGAAAAATCTGGCAAATACACTGGCATAGATGACAAGTTAAGGGTACTTTTGTATAAGTTAGGAGCACGCGGAAGTACGCTGAAGCAGGCTGGCACACATCGGCATACGGCAAGTATGTCAGCGTATGCTCATACATGGGACAGGTAAGTTATTTGATTGTTGACATACGCTAAAGTAAAAGTTCGGTCATATTCAGAATCCAAAGTTCCGAAAGTACTTTAAATATGAAATTATTACATACTTTTCAATAAATGATAAGTGTTTTTAATAAAGAGTAATTTCCTTTGAATGTCCTTTACCGGAGGCATCCATCTTTGTCAAAGAACACTACTGCCACCTACAGGTTTGTGATGTCACAGTGTGGTATCGGCTGTTGAGCAAGTCCCAATTCTGTATCTGGTATTTGTCATAACACGGTATTATCCAAGTCATCTTGAAAAAGTTCTTCAAAATGTTGGCTACATATTACGTGCGTTTTCTCTGGCCAGAAGTTCAGTAACAAATCCTCCCTCTTCAAGTTGGCAACACAAATACAAAAAATGTCCTTGGAGGATCATGAATCAGAAAAGGTGAAATAAAAAAAAATGTTTTTTCTCTTTTACCCAATGTATTAAAACTGCCATGCACGTGAGCATTGTCAATTTAACCATAGCTCTCACAAATTTCAATGGTGAAGTCCTCTTGAAATCTTAAATAATCCCACTTATTTTGCTTTTAAAGCGGGGAGATTGGCGCTAGGCTAACCACACCGTGACGTCACTGTCGGAAGATGTCAGGAGTGACGTGTTACTATATTTTGGCAACAATGGCCGGTCCCCGGACTCAGTGATCGTGATTAAAATCATCATTTTAATTTTTTTACTGATTAACGCTAAATTAATTCAAACACTGCAAATGTCTTAGTTTTAGGTATTATGATCCACTGATTATTCCTTGCTGTCCGGACTTTTCCTTTAAGTGTATGTTACTCATAAATCGTGGTGTTTAGCTTATCCAAAAAACGTTTGCATAGCTTATGCACATGTTAAGCACAGGATTTTTTTTTTTTTAAAGGAATTTTCTAAATTTTGGGACAATATGGTCTGATAAAGAGTACATTTATATAAATTTTTAAGCTAGAATGATTTGACATTTAAATATGATTTCTGTACTACGTTAAGCATTTCTCTCATTTCCAGTATTAGGTTTACAAAATTGTCAGTTGAGGATGCATATGAAGTATGTATTTTACTCTTAAACTGAACAGCTGTTAGCGTTTAAAATGGTATGTTAACTTTATCAGCATGCCTCAGCTAGGAAGAAAACGGTGATGTTACATGAGGCAGAATTTTCTGAAAAGTAGTCAACCACAGTTTGTTTTCTCATTTGCTTCCTCCCTCTAAGTGACAAAAGTTGACATGAGTGTATGCACGGATAGGAGAGAATCAGCTCCTAAAAAGAAAGACACGGGCACAGAGAAGTAGCATGCACTCATGCTTGTGATATATTGGGGGTCTCATGGTATTGAATCTGCACGCATAATGTGTATGGGGAGTATTTGGCATATTTATTACGCATGTACACAGAATTCTAACTACCGTACATAAAAAGCAGTCCCACAGCATGATGCTGATACTCTTTTGTTTAACCCTATAATGCCAAATGTATCATATTTGATACATACGGTTTCTGAAATGTTTTGCATCTGACACCTTTTGC